ACAGGATCCGAAGCAGGCTCCAGGCTCTGAACTGTCAGCACAGAGCCCAGTGTGGGGCTTGAACTCACAGACTGCAAGATCGTGACCTGAGCTGAAGTTGGCGCTCAACTGACTGAGTCCCCCAAGCACCCCTAAAATTCTAAAATAATAGAGAAATGCAGTTTCTAGCAGAGTCAAGGCAATCTTGAAGGAAAAATGTTAGGAGATTTTCACTACCAGATTGCAGGATTTACTGTAAACCTACAGTAATTTAGATAAAATGATATTAGCACAAAGATAGACAAATATGCCAATGGAACAGAATAAATTAGTCCAGAAATAGACTCACACATACACTATCATTTGATTTATAATAAAGGCACCACCACAATTCTCTAGGAAAAGGACTCTGTTCTCAAAAATTAGTGCTGGAGAAACTGTAGGTCCACATAAAGAAGAAATTGATCCTGTTCTTTCAATGGTGCTTCAGAGGCAGTAGGCTGCTTTAGGATGAAGCTGAAATCTCTTTCCCAGCTACTGGCTGCCAGAAACTCATTGAAATGGACAATAAATGCAAACTTTTCACCTTTTATGGGAAGTGTATGGCCCCAGAAGTTGCTGCCAATGCTGTGGGTAAAGAGTGGAAAGGTTACATGGCCTCAATCAGTGGTGGCAATGACAAACAAGGCTTCCTCATGAAGCAGGGGATTTTGATCATGGAAGTGTCTGCCTGCTGCTGAGTAAGGGACATTCCTGCTACCGACCAAGGAGGACTGGAGAAAGAAAGCGTAAATCTGTTCGGAGTTGCATTTTGCATGCCAATCTCAGTGTTCTCAACTTGGTCATTGTAAAAAAAAAAAAAAAAAAAAAAAGAAGAGAAGGAAATTCCTGGACTCATTGATACTGCTGTGCCTCATCACCTGGGACCCAAAAGAGCTAGGAGAATCTGTGCAAACTTTTCGATCTCTCTAGAGAAGATGATGTCCAGCAGTATGTTGTGAGAAAGCCCCTAAACAAAGATGGTAAGAAACCTAGAACCAAAGTCCCCAAGATTCAACATCTGGTTACTGCACGTGTCCTGCAACACAAACATTGGGGTGTGGCTCTGAAGAAACAGTGTACTAATGAAAATAAGGAAGAGGCTTCAGAATATGCTAAAGTTTTGGCCAAGAGAATGAAAGAGGTCAAAATAACATGCAAGGAAAAGATTGCCAGGAGACAGAGGCTGTCCTCTCTGAAAGCTTCTGCCTTGAAGTCTGAGTCCAGTCAAAAATGAGATTTTCTAAGAGTAACAGATAAATAAGATCAGACATAAAAAAAAGAAAGACAATGATCCTTAATTCCCTACCTCACACCATACTAAAAACTTAATTCGTGGTGGCTCATAGATCGAGATCTTCTCAAAGAAAATATAGAATAGTATCTTCATGACTTTGGGAGTAACAAAGATATCATAAACAGAATCCCACAAAAACTAAACATAAAAGAAAAGACAATCGTTCTGACTTTAGTGTAATCATGAACTTTTGTTTATTAAAAGATGTCATTAAGAATGTGAATAAGCAGGTGAAAAACTGAGACATATCCCTTAAGATCAGGAACAGAACAAAGATGTCACTCTCAAAACTTTTATTCAACACAGTACTGGAAGTCCTAGTCACGACAATCAGGAAAGCACATAGAATTCCATTCAGCAAAAGCATACACAATGAAAGAAAAAGAAAAAAAAAACTTGATCCTATCCCAAAATTGTGGCTACTGATGATAAGTTTAAGTAAAGTGCTAATTCATGATATGAAAGGGAAACTCTTTTCTTCCCCTAGATCATGAAGATATTTTCTTTTTTTTTCTTTTTTTTTAGAACACATGTAATTTTTTTTAAATTTTTTTTAACGTTTATTTATTTTTGAGACAGAGAGAGACAGAGCATGAACGGAGGAGGGGCAGAGAGAGAGGGAGACACAGAATTGGAAGCAGGCTCCAGGCTCTGAGTCATCAGCCCAGAGCCCGACGCAGGGCTCGAACACGGACCGTGAGATCGTGACCTGAGCTGAAGTCGCAGGCTTAGCCGACTGAGCCACCCAGGCGCCCTGAAGATATTTTCTTATAACAACTTCTATTAACAGTTTAGCTTTATCTTTTACCTATAGGTCTGTCACCTATCTGGAGCCTACACGTGCATACCATTTTAGGTAAGGATCCAGTTTTATTTTTCTTGGGCTACTGACCCCCTTCCTTGCTCCTTGAAATACTTTTCATCTTCATTATGCATTAATTTACATTTATGCAGGCATCTAAATTCCCAGTTCTATTTGTTTTCAGGTCAATCTTATACTGTTGCCATTACTGTGGCCTGGTGGTAGGCATTCATTGAAAGGAGAGCAAATTCCCTTTCTCAAAGTTAACTTAGTTATTCATAGACCTTATCCTTCAACAGACATTTAGAACAAATCAGGTTCGTTATAAAACTGCCAAACCAGAATTTTGACCGGGATTGAATTGAATCGTGTTATATCAACTCCTACATTTTTTATATTTTACATTTCATCTGGTTCTTTTTGATGACTTTTTCCTGATTCAGATTAATAATATCCCCCTTCCCAGATGCCCTGGAGGTATTGTTATGCTTCCTTTCAATTCACTGTTCATCTGATCTAAAGATTCTTCTTTTTGCAGTATGTTTCTTTGTACTCATTGATATTTTTTTAAATAGTTATGTTCTTCTCTTATGTGTCCTTTTGGCCTGCAACTTTAAGTCTCCCTGGGAACAGCAGCTACCTTATCCTGTAACGTGCATACAGGAAAGGTCAAAACACACACTCCAGTTCTCATCCTACTAAACAGTTTAGGGGAGGCAAGGGGATGAACCTAAGAACTCCACTGTTCATCTCTTCGCTGCTACTCCACCAGTCAACTCTTGGACTGCAAAGCCATCTACAAATTCATCCAAAGAAACAGAAATCCACCAGCTCTAGGATTTGGGAAGGGAACAGGGAGGGCCGGATGTCAAAGGCCTGGACTCGTTGCCTCGTCTAGTTGCCTCATCTCTGCAGAGCTTTTATGAAGCTGATACTTCCCTACCCATGTGGGGTACCCTACAGAGATAGGACTTGCCAATTTCCTCCAGTTGAATGGGACAGGCCGCAGAAGAACATAAAATGCTCTTGATGTCCTATATCTTGATTGAAATGTGGTTCACATGGGATATATATATTTGTCAAAATTGTTGACCGGTACACATGAGATCTGTACATCCCACTGTGTAAACAGAATACCTGGGAATGACAGGACATCCATTACCATCATCTTTTATTATACTGTTATTGAACATTGATCTGGAAATACTAGTATTAAAATAAGTTGTAAATGAAATCGGGATTATAAATATTCGAAGGAAAGAAGTAATATTGTATTTGTTAGCTCTTACCATGTTTCCTCTGGAATCCCCAAAAACTTATTGAAAAAAAAAATATTAGAACTATAGAGAGTTTAGTAAGATTGCCAGTTAATCAATAAACTCATGTTGATCTATAACTGGGGTCACAGTTCAAATGCATACAGCGTTTTCACCTAATGAAAATGGATGAAAGAAAATAAATTGTGAGGAAGGCAGTACAAATTTTTTATTGTATTGAATTTTGGTTTTAACGAGCAATGTAAACATTTGTTATACTAAAGATTACATTTTAAATTTCAAGTAGAAAAAATATAAATTGAGCAATCAGAACAACTTTATTTTACAAATTTTTCTCACTTGGGGATGCTGATTTCAGCCTGACAAATAGGACACATTTTGTAGTAAGGTAGCAATACCAAATTTTATGTTTCCATTGTAATGTGCAGAACAGGATTCAACCTTTGAAGCCTTTAACTGAGAGTAATATTTCTTTTCGTACGGTTTCATATTTCATAAGAGAAAACAGCTGCTCACAAATTTAGGAAATTCCTAACCTAACATAATCTTTGTCTGATGATTTTTCTATTTAGTGCAGTCACACCCCGGATATCCACACAATTCTCATGGAATGATGTAAACATGTGTCACTGTATGTTCTGAGCTCAGAAACTTCCATGTGTAGCTCTTCATTCAGCCTTCTTCTGATAAAGATGAAGTGAGCATTATTGGTTACTTCTCTCAAAATGAGAGGCTGGCATACAGTAGGCTGTGTAGACTATATGGTTCACAGGTTAAGAGCACTGATTCTGCAGCCAGACTGTGTGAATTCTATCCTGGCTCTAACACTCAGGAACTATGACCTGGGGCTAATTTTTCAAACTTTTTGGGCCTCAGTGCATCATCAATAAAGGGATAACAATTATAGCACCTGTATCAGAGGGAAGATTATATTATCAAATACATGCAAGGCTCTTAGAACAATGCCCAGTGCATGACAAGCACATTGTATTAGTTATTATTACGAACCTGTTTTTGAATTTAGCCTTTAATGCCACTATTAGGGAATGCAGTTCATGCTGACATGTTTTCATTTTTGGAAGCTGATTGCAATGAAAGAAAGTGAGCCGAGGCTGATTTCCATTGTATCTAACAGTGTTAAATCATAACTGAGTATCTATAGGCTCTCTTATAGAATATTTTCAGAGTAGGTAGGAATGTTTGGCAAAGCGGAGGCCAAGTCTTTGTTTCTTCAGTGTGAGGTGAGGTGGGGTATTTTCCTTGAATGATCTAACAAGTCAGTTCATTTCTAATCCACATCTACCCTCTGTGAAGAGCATACTCATGTGCATCCAAGTCATTGACAAAGGCAGTGAAACTTTGTCTCAAGATCCTGCGACTTGAGCGTATCCAGGCCATGGTGTTAATTAACCCACATTCATGCTATATTCTGTCTCTAACTCTTTAACTCAAAGTGAGTTTTTACTTCATTTGAGGCAGTAAGTAAATGAAAAGTTAGTACCTTAGATGTAGATTTCTCGACAAATAGGGTGGTAACCCTTAGCATGGAAGGAACATCATCTGTAGTTAGATTTTCCAATTTTGACAGATTGTATTAAAATTCTTAACATAACTCAACACACAAAAATAAGTTATTCCTTGACTTTGCATTTTCATGGACACTGTGTCCAAATTTTCTTTTGGTGTGTAAGATTTCTCATTGCCACCATAAGTTAACATAACTTACAAGGCAGTGTTATTATTTTTGTCTTCATATGAGCTATGATAGAAAATGCTATGAGTGACTTAAAATTTCATGGCAGTCTTTCTATAACTTCTTAGCCATATTTCAATATGCTGAAGGTATTCAGGAAAAATGTAAGCTTCTATAACAAAATACAGTGGCATAAAGAAAGGAGAAATGTATTTCACTCCCATCGAATAGTTTCAAAGTGTGTGGAGCCCTGGTTGGCTGGGCTACTCTGCTTCATGCATCATTTGTAGGTTCCATCTTGTTCCAGCCTTTCTTGAGGTGTTTATCTTGTCCACATGATGGAAATGTGGTTCTGAGGACCCACTCTCAGGAAGAGAAAGTACTGAAGAACATGATAAGCATTTTTCTCAACAAATGGCACAGAAAGAATATCTATCCCTTTTGCTCACGGTCCATACGTTGACACATTACACAGGCGTTAACTTAATCACATGGCCACCGTTGCCACAAAGGAGGCTGGGAAACGTAGTCTCTAGCATGGCATCCATATAGAATTTGGCAGAAAACTATCAACCTCCACCAGACAGAGCAACTGCTATTTCCCATTAAATTAATATTTGTAAATGTTTGTGAGAATCACGCAATTTTTGCTGCACTGAATAGACATTCATATAAATTTATTATCTAGAAAATATTCTGACACCTAGGCGATTTTTTCCATTTAACGTAGGTCTTTATGTTACTGCAGCACGACTATTTTATTCAAGTTCTGAAATTAAAATTCAGGTCCTTTTATTTCAATTTATTCAGATTTAAATCCCTTACTTTTTCCATGTATAGGAATATGCACGTATTTCTATACATATAATCTATGTGTGTGTGTGTGTGTGTGTGTGTGTGTGTGTGTGTATACTTTTATACACATACATATATACATACATACACATTTAACGAGCTCTGGCTTGTTATAAAATGACATCTTAATAAAATTTGCATTTCACACTTGAAATGACATGCTTCTCTTTCATAATTAGTCTCTCTTGTTTTTTTTCAAACATCTATTCTCTTAGTCTCTTAGTCTTTTATTCTCCCAGATTTTGATAGAAACATAGATAGGAGAAATAGTTTATTTTTCATAACTTTAGATACAGAAAACAGTATTGTAAGT